TTGCTCATATATCATTTCCTACAAACGTTTTGAGGGAGCGCAATGATTTACCCCAACATACAGGTCGGAACTATTATTTGTGTGATTTGCGGCTTGCTACCGCGGCGAAGAAAACGAACTTCATTTCGAATTACTGATGAACACTCCGATTGTTGCAGGTGAAACCGTTTGTGATGCTAAAACGGGTAATTCCTGGTGAGCCGAAGCGAATCGGTAATGATCGCTTCGAGGGCTACTGCGTCGATTTAATTAAACTACTGGCAACTAATATCAGTGGCTTTGGGTCCTATGAAATATTCATAGCAGATGGAAACAAATATGGCCAGCGCCAGGATGACGGCTCCTGGGACGGAATGATCGGATACTTGCTCAACGAGGCATGTCTTGCGGCTTTGAAGTTATGACACATTTGTAATTTGTTTGCATAATTTTGCTGACTACGAATAGTCTCTAAGCAAATCTGAATGTCATGGAGCACAAATTTTCAGTGATTTAAAAAAAAAGCTTATCTCGTAGAATCTTATATCAAAATTTACATTTTTTGAATGCCATTTCCTCGGGGATATTTATTGAAATTATAATACCTGGAATCCTCCCAAACTTTTGGCTGAAAAACTTCAAAAACTTATAAAGAAATAGCATGAACCGAGACTTTTCATTTACGAAAGAAAAGTCTCGGATTCAGCACGAGTGGTCGTTTTGTTAACGCAAAGAGCAATCCCGATCTTCTGCTGCTGAATCCATGAAGGCGCAGCACGAGAGACCATTTGTACCGTGCAATACGACATCCATTCTGATGTGAAAAAGTAAGAGGAAGATGCTAGAATCACTTTACTTTTTCCCTGAAGTTTGTCGCAAGATGAATAACAACTAAGTAAAAGCAAACAGATATGCAGACAGCAGACGTTGCGGTAGCACCACTGACGATCAATCAGGCACGTGAGCGTGTTGTGGACTTCTCGAAACCGTTCATGACCACCGGGATTAGTATTATGATCAAGAAACCGGAGAAACAAGAATTTAACGTCTTTTCATTCATGCAACCTTTGGGAACGAACATTTGGTTCTTGATACTTTGCTCGTATGTAGGAGTAAGTTATTTCCATTTCCTTCTTCGAACCTGATTTTTGTAATAATATTTTTATTCATTTTTATGCATTTTTGCTGTGCAGCGCTATAGCGCTGCTACAGGCAGGAAAAACGCATATTGTCGAGAGGCTGTCTGTGTGTGTGTGTTCGGAAAGCGAGTGCATTTTGTCACCCACTTTTACCTCACCAACCAGGGAACCTGGGAGGCTGAAACTTTGGATATGTGTTCCTACCCCGTGTGTCATCCTCCCGTTTTGAGATCCTTCCCCATAAGCGCCTAGATCCCGCGTACGGATCCCCAAAGAAATATGTTGGCGGGGAACGATCTCGCACGTACATAGAGAATATCCCTGCAGCTGAAACTTTGCAGTGATATTCTCTATGTACGTGCGAACTAAAGATTTTAAACTCAGCTGTCGAGCACCCCAACTACAGCTTCGAGCAGCTCCTCAATCCAAAAATGGTTGAACCGCAATCGTACGTGTAAGTGAACATGGATTATTTGACAAACGATGGTTAGAGCAATACTTTCAGTTTTCAATTAACTGGAAATTTGCATTTTTTCAAAAAATTTGCATTCGCCATTTTTTCACAAAAGCGAGTATTTACCGAAAAAATGACTGGATTTTATGCAAAAAACCGGAAATCATGCACCTGGATGCCCATGCGGCTCTATAATGCACCACCTTCATCCCAACTGACGCCTTTCCTCCTGCATGCCGGAATGCACGGCAAATGTGACCCAAGTTTTAGGCTACAGCGTAGGAATCATTCTTGCTAATAGCAATCTGCAAGTTTGGTGCAAAAACGCATGATCGCACCGGAGAGCCTGGTGCGTTCCAGACTAGGTTATGCCTTTTTGCTGTGCAGACTTTTTAATCCCCTTCCGACTTCCTTCAAATTTGCATTTTTATGCGTTTTTGCATGTATGCAAATTGCAAAAACGCATATCGGCAAGAGGCTGTCTGTGTGTGTACGCCTGTGTGCTCGCACTTTTTGTCGCCCGCTTTCAACTCGAGAACCAGAAAAACTAGAAGGCTGAAACTTTGGGGTTATGTGCCTATACCATGCGCGACCCTCCCGTTTTAATATCATTGTCCGCCTGCGCCTGGGTGCCGCGTACGAAAGTCTTAAAAAATATGCAAATCTTTTGGCAGGAAAGCGATCTCTGAAACCAAGGTAAAGGTCTAAAATTCGCATGGACATTCCCTGTGCATGTATGAACTAAAGACTTCAAATTCAGCCTTGAGTTGTACGTGGTACTCAAGTAAGAGCGTATGAAATTCCTGACGGGAAAATTAATAAATCGGGAAACAGAAAAGCTAGAAAGCTGAAGTTTCAGGATAATGTTCTCTGTCCAAGTACAATCTAAATAATTCAAGTTCAGCCTTCAGGTCGGCTGTCAGCAAAGCAGTTAGAATATGCTACCCATCGGACTTTACTTTCTCGCATGATCACGGCTTACTTAATTATTATTTTCTATTTCTTATTAACTGCAAACCAATGTTTGTTTGTAGGTGTCACTGACGATATTTCTGGTGAGCTCGTTCAGCCCATACGAAACTCGTACGCAAGCGGAATTGCCAACGCGGCTTTCACTATATAACAGCCTATGGTTTACTTTATCGTCATTCATGCAGCAGGGTACGGATATCTTACCGCGGTAATCTCTTCCTGGTTCACCTCAAGCAAAATGAGTAGTTTTTTCTCCTCATCTCGGATCAAGCCTTATCTCGTTTCCTGCTTTTCAGGGCACCATCAGGACGAATTGCAAGCAGTGCCTGGTGGTTCTTCACTTTAATCATTGTTTCCTCATACACTGCAAACTTGGCGGCATTTTTAACACTGGAAAAGATGACTTCGCCAATTGAATCGGTCGATGACCTCGCCGCACAAAAGAAAATCCTTTATGGAATTGTGAAAGGTGGCTCAACAGAAGAATTTTTCAGGGTACTGCTTTAATTTTATTATGCGTTTTTTGCAGCTGTGCAATGCAGAAAACGCATATTGACGAGGGATTGTTTGTGTGTGTCTGTTGTTCGTCTGTACCGATTTTTCATTTCGAGAACTACAAAAGATACGGGGCTGAAATTTCGGGTACTTAATCTACATGCATGTACGGCCCCCATCCACAAAATGGGCGCTCTAACGCGCGTGGTACCTACGTACGAGCCCGCCAAAGTTTTTTACGGGTAAGCTGCTAACTCGGGAACCAGAAAAGCTGGGAGGCTGAAATTTTAAGGGGAAGTTCCCCGTCCAAGTAGGCATTAATGAGCTCAAACCCAGCTCCCGGGTAAACGTGGTACCCGCGTACGGGCCAGCCAAAATTTTTTTCGGGTAGGTTGATAGTCGGGAACCTGAGAAGCTAGAAGACTGGAAAGAGATATTTCCTGACAGTCTTGGCGGCCAGTCCGAAATTCTTTTAGCTAGAAGCGTCTAACAGTACCGTTAGCGACAAATATCTGAGGGGAACTATGCAAAAACCGCATCTTTGCACGGGCAGCCCGCGTGCTGGCCAATTATTTTCTTTACACACTGGGAGTAAATGCAGGCGGTGGGTTAGGACATGTTCTCGCGGATGAATCCTTTCCGTAAGTATAGACCGAAAGGGAATCAAAGTACTCGCCTTTATTCAATACGGTTTACGTCGATTGCTTCATCAGTAACTGTTGGCTTTTTACGAGACTTCCAGAACAGAAGGTCTTAAACAGCCACGTACACCTTATATCTGTTACCAGTCAAAAGTCGAAACCCCTTCGTATTAGTTATGTGCGAATGCAGAAACATTTGGAACCGGACCAGCTAGTAGCATCTGTTAACAGTAATCATTCGATCACAAAACTGTTGATGGTTTGCACTTTCGAGGATTGTTTACAAGCAAGCTGATGGTGAGCTTCATTCCCCAGTAATCATTAGTACCAATTTACGATTGAAACAAACTGAATCACTTTTACACCAAGATGAAACACTTCCGACCATAAACTTGAAAAGCACGTGTTTTGCTGCAGTACTACAAAAAATTTGAGTTGATAATTTTTATGAACCAGTGACTCAATTCCAGGAATCAGCAGTGCCGGTATACAAGAAAATGTGGGGTTTCATGTACGATACATACATGCAGCAGCGTCGTGGACAACTACACAGTAATACCTCGGATACGGTAATGGTGAACACATATGCTGAGGGAATCGACAAAGTACGCCGGAGCAAGGTGCTTTCTTTTCAGCTTCTAATCGATTTGCCTTAAATCATACCCGGATTTATTACGTTATATCATCATGTTGCTAATTTTCTCAGACTTACATTCAAACCCAGACAGCAAAGCGAACCAGTGCTAACGGTACGATTAAGTGTTTTTGCTCAAAACTTGAAGCAATCAGATCGTTAACAGTATGATTGGTCGTTGCTTTACAGTCTAAAATGTGCACTTATGTTGTCTGTGCTTTTAGTCTGTTCCTACCATGTGGGAAGAAAGGGTCCTTCGCTGGCACGGCAGTGTTGCATAGTAGGGCTGCGTGAAATCTTAACCTCTCGCACATATGATTACATAAGGAGGAGTTGTCGATGATTTTGTACTCTCAAATTCGACGTGTCCATGCGCCAGACTTAGGCATTATTGGTGCAGACACGCAACATTCTCGTAAAATTTCTGATTTCTTGGCTGTCTGATTGTCGAGAAGATAACGAAAAGGTGGAACGTTTGGTAACGAACGGATGTGCCGATTTTAAGCTTAAAAGCTCGTACATGAATATCAAATACCTTCATAAAATTGCGACCTTATTTTTGGTCTAGCTGTAGTGTTAAATTGGTGCTAAAATGTTCAGAATTGAAATTTTACTTATGCATAACACGAGGCCGGGGAGGAGAGAGGAGGAGAGATAATAGGCTAACTTGGGATCTTCATGCTGACTGCCCAAGTGGTCTTGGTATTAGACAATTTCATTATATTCCAATGCAGTAAAATTACGGTTCAGTTATAATCAGGGTCGTTATGCGTTTCTTCTGGAGGAGACAGCAAACGAATACGAAAACACAAGAAAGCCGTGTGATACGATGAAAGTTGGTGCTAATCTGAATTCACTCGGATATGGTGTGGCAACTAAAATCGGCAATCCCTTGAGGTTACCTTTTAGAAGATTTACATCCTTGGAAGGTGCTGGATGAGATAGCTGTGGGGAATTTTTTTATGGTTTTTAAAACAGTTACACGGATATGTTTCTAAGATAAAAAGCAAATTTTCTTTTTCTTTAAATGTGATTTTCTATCAGACTCCTGTTAAATCCTATATTTTTCCT